TACAAGGTAGATTAGAAAAATAAAAGATTGACATAATTTTAAATTAAAAAAATCACTAAAAATAAAAAAAAAATTAAAATTAAAATATAATTTATTTAAAATTTCTCTTACAATTAAAACTTAACGAGCTTAAAAAATATATTAAAGGTTTAGTTTGTTCATCATTCAAGTCAATTTCAAATGAGTTTTAATCAAAAAAAATAACAAATTAAGTTAAAATAGTTTGATATTTTTAAAAAAAATTCTATAATACAAATAAATTATATCCTTCAATCATGATTGAAGCTTTTACACACTGATTTAAGTAAATATTTCAATAAAAATTCTAATAGTAAAATTTTATTCTATTTGGAAATTGATTGTTGCACTGTAACGTAATTTAGTGGGCTTTCTGAACTATTTTAAGTATTTTTTTTACTTTTAAATCTTTTTAATTTAAATATACCTAAAAAGTAAAAAAAAATATGAACATAATTTTAAAAAATCACTAAATACATTTTTTAAAAATATTTCTTTACAAATATTTTATTTTTTAAGTCCATATAAGTTAAGAAACAATTTTTTTTTAAAATATTTAAAAATTTCACTAAAAACCAAAAAAATTAAAAATCATTTTTAAAATCTCAAAATCAAACAGTCTATAATTTTTATTGAGATTATCATATTTTAACAGTATTATTTATCAAACTGTTAGATGTTTGAGTCAATATTTAAATTAAATCTTTTTTCATTTGAGTAAAAAATGAATAAAACTCAATTTGATATGAGCATGAAACAAAAAGTTTAAATGAATTTTGAATAATTTTTTACCGAAATTTTAATTTGAGTCAATATATGGATGTGAATGCATTATGCATAATTTGATTACAAGAACATCTTAAGTTCACTCTCATTCAACTCATTTGGTTGATTGTGTCACTGGTACAACCAATATCTTTCTCTAGTTCTAAGTAGGAATAAAATTAGATTAAAACTCTAAATAACATTCTCAACTACTGGCCTCAACCCATTAAATAATTTTGAAAATTCTAAGTGCACATAAAGCGGATACTTGAATAGTTTTTCTAGTTGATTGTGATATTTGATTGGTTTATTTTGACAATATCATTTGTTGGTGGAACTTTTATCAGTTCAGATTTTGATTTAAAAAATAATAATTTTACCTTTAGATTCATCTAGACAAGGTAGCCTAGAAATATAAAAAATTGACATAATTTTAAATAAAAAAATCACCAAAAACAAAAAAATTTGAAATAAATATAATTTATTTAAAATTTCCCGGACAATTAAAACTTAATGGGCTTAAAAAATATATTAAAAGATTAGTTTGTTTATCATTCAAGCCAATTTCAAATGAGTTTTAATATTAAAAAAAAATCACAAATTAAGTAAAAATAGTTTGATTTTTTTAAAAAAAGTTCTATGATACATATAAATTATATCCTCCAATCTTGATTGAAGTTTTTACACACTGATTTAAGTAAATATTTCAATAAAAATTCTAATGGTAAACTTTTATTCTATTTGGAAATTGATTGTTGCGCTATTACGTAATTTAGTGGGCTTTCTGAATTATTTCAAGTATTTTTTTTTAATTTTAAAATTTAAATATACCTAAAAAGTAAAAATATATATATATATATGAACATAATTTTAAAAAATCACTAAATACAATTTTTTTTTAATATTTCTTTCCAAATATTTTATTTTTTAAGTCCATATAAGTTAAGAAACAATTTTTTTAAAATAAAAAAATTTCACTAAAAACAAAAAAAAAATTTAAATCATTTTTAAAATCTCAAAATCAAACAATCTTTAATTTTCAATTTGAACTTTGATAAAAGAGTAGTGTTACTCTAGTTTAAAAGTGAGATTTTACTTTTCAAACTAAATAATATGACGATGTATTAGAATATTTGAAGTAATTCTTTCTCGTGTTTTCTTTGTTCGTCAATCAATCATCTCTTTCACACATCATTGTGTTTAGAAAGTAAATTTTGTATCATTTTCTTGATAGAATACAATCACAACCCAAGCAATAAATATGTTCTTTGAAATATATTATATGATGTCATGCTATATTAGGAAAATATTTAAGACGTCTAAAATGTCTTCTCTAATTTGATAAATTGTAATTTTTTTGCGTTTCTCGAGAGAAATAAAGAACTGAGAAACGAGTGAAAAAATCATAAATTATAAGCATCATTAATAGAATAAAAAAGAATAGAAATTTTGGCTCTATTTGGTAGAGTTCTTTAAACTTAATTCTATCATTATATTTGAGTGTGGTATTTGTTTACGATTTTCAAAAATTAATTCCATTCACTTTTGAAAACTCTGTCCAAGGTGGAAAAATTTGGACTAACTAGTCATCCTCGCAAGCGTCCAACTAGTTGACCAGAACAATGCATTTTTATTTTTTTTTCACAAATGCCACCTGTTATTTTTTATATTTTAAATAAAAAAAATTTAGAATTTTTTTTAAGTTTTGAATAGAATTTTGAGTTGTGTGTGTGGTTTGAGTTATAAGTTTTTGTATCAAATATCATATCTTACATCAAAAATTCTCCACTCAATTCAAAACTCATTCACCAAACAAATTTTTTACACTCAAATCGTAATTTGAGCGTACCTAAAAAAAAAATCAGGTGGCATGTTTAAAGAAATTATAATTTCAAAACTCACAAACTCAAAATACAATTCTATTCTTAAATCATATTTAAAAAACTCTACTAAACACAACCTATGTTATTCAATTCTGATTTTAAACCAACATACATGTTATGAAAAAAAAAATTAGAAGGCTGATTGGACTCACTAACATGATTAACAAGTGCTGGTAATAACAATAAAAAAAACCTTTTATGCTGAAAATAATGAGCTTGTGTTGAATCTTCAATCTCTTCTAATGATTTTTTGTGTGTTTATTCAACAAATTCAAACTTCATTCAATTTTTTTGAGTTAAGCTCGAGTCAAGCAAATTGGGGCAAACTTCTATATTTTTTGAGTTTGACTTGGACAAATATAATTTTGTTGAACTCATTCAAGTTGCATCCCTACATGTATCTTTAAATATCTAGACAATATATCCAAAAATTAAAATTGTTCTTTGATTATTAGGGGTTGTTTGGGGTGTTCTAAATAAGTGTACTTTTTGTCTTTTTGGACTAAAAAGTTGAGGGAAAAAATATGGATGTTTGGGTTAACTTTTTAACTTTTTATGGAAAAATGTGTAATAAAAAATTGTAAAAATTGATTTGTATGGAAAAATTAAGATCGGGAGTTGTGCAGCCGTAATTGTTGACTTTTGGTGAATAGTGTTAACTTTTTAACTTTTTAAGTAACTTTTTAACTTTTTGGCTTTTTTCATACTACCCAAACTTGGCCTTAGACGCCTAATTATTGTATCAAATACATAGCTTATGAAGTGTCCATTCAGCAATTAACTAGTCTTTTAGTTTTATTTTAGCTTTTGATTTGGCTCTTAAAATTTTAATTGTTTTTATTTAAAACTTTCTACTTTCATGGAGATCTTTTAGGGTCTGTTTGATTCCAAGATAATTACATAGGATTGGACTGTTAATCCTATCAAATTTATATTCCAACGTTTGGATCACACAAATAACATCCGACTTAGTAATATGTAAGATTCTTAATCTTACAAAATTGTAATATATTTAATACTAAAGGAGAGTAGGTATTAACAATTCCACACATAATTATCCTATGAGATTATTAATCTCATCACTAATACTCCGCCTAATCAAACATGGCCTTAGAACATAGTCATTTTGAATGTGTAGTGTGGGTTTAGTACATGAAAACTGTGCTGAACTAAGTTAAATGCATTTCGATCTCACATTTGCTAAGAAAGGTGATGACCATGTGCATATAAGCTTCTAGAGCACTCTCTCCTTACAAATCAATTTTCAATAGTAGGTTCTACCCCTTCATATCATTGGTATCTCATTACTATCAAAACCAATCACCACACCAAGTATGGGATCGTATGTGTTGTTCTGTGGTTCGAGCCATGGAAGACGTGACCTATATGTTGGATTAAGACACTGTGAGGGCTTCAAACACTAATAGGTGAGTGCGTGCCATTGCAGTGCAACTAATGCTCAAATAAATTAATTTGTAGCCCAAATAATTTTCAAAACAAATTTGAGTAAAATTTTTATGGTTTTGAAGCCATAAAAATTGGCAGCAGTGCAAAACAACTTTTCAGGCATAATTCCATCAGGCAAACCAGCTCCAGAGTTTTACTACTTTTTTTTCTTTGTTTCATTGGCAACAACAATGAACTATACATGTGCAAATCTACTAATAGATCAAAAGAAATTTTGCATTGAAGATTATGCACCCAAATATCCTAAACATGTTGATGTCAAAATGACAACAACAAAGAAAGTGGCTGGATAACATGAAGCAGTTCTACGTAAGCACGGTTGGACGCCTTTGACGCACTGTTGGTTCATTCGCATTCACATTCACTCTTACGGATATATATGAACTCGTAACAGTGACATTTTTATTTCTGTAGGATCTTGTTCATTAACCCATCTCGAAAATCTTAGCACTGTTGGTTCGTTAGCGTTCACTCTTATGGATTCATATGAACTCATAACATTGAAATTTCTCTATGCAGTGAAAAATTCTGTAGGAACTTGATCATTAACCCAACTTTGACAGTTTTAGTCTCTCTTCACACGTGCACACGTAATCTGATACACAATGTTTTGATTCCAACGTCACATCCCAGAAAAGTTCAAACACACTCTCCACCATATATAAATAAATAAATAAAAATCACCAAAAAACATGGTGAGCCAATCTGAAGAAAATGGTATTCATCTGGGCAAGCTGGAAAATGTTTTTTATACCAATTCTTACCTCACTGCCAAAGGCCACAGCAACCGCCTTGTTAGTCTGCCAAAAACAAAACAAAAAAAAACAAAACAAAACCAAAAAATGCTAATTACATAATATTAAGGAATTGCAAGGAACAAGACAAACATATCATAGAAGGGAAAGCTGAAGCAGTGTCCAAAAACATTAGACTCCAATATTTCAACAATATGTTCAACAAGCCCTTGATGCTAATTCTAACTCGGAGTACTGATAAGTCATTTCAGGGTACATAATTTAATGGATTAAATACAGTTCTGCATGAGTTTGAGAAATATTATGGACAAATTCAAAACTGAACGAAAAATTCACACCAAAGAATCCACAACCAGAATGAGTCTAGTATTCCCATTTCTTCATCTCCATGCCATCTGGAGGGCTTCCTTCCACCTTCTTGGACCCCACTTCTTTCCAGTTTGTCGATAGCACTGTCCCATTCGACTCAACCTGTATTATAACCAAACAAAATACAATATTACTTGGTCTACTGATGGAATCCATAAACAATAACGCTCCTTCTGTTTTGTTTGTTTCAGCAAAAAATATTTTCCAAGAAAGAAAACGTTTTCCTATGTTTGGTCGTGTCAATAAAAGTAATATACTAATAATTGTATTAGTGGTTGGGGTGGTTGGGTGGAGGCGATGATGGGAAGGAGGCGGTGGTGGTGGCGGCCGAAGCAGTGGCAAAGTGGCAGGGGGGTGGGGTGTGGCAGCGGCGGCAATGGTGGAGGTAGTGACGGTGACAGTGGCAATGCTAGCATGGTGGCATTGATAGAACACTATTCTGGCAAATGTTTTTCACCTTCTAGAAGTGAAAAACATTTTTTGCCCAAATAGGTTTGTTTTCTGTTGACCATAAAAAGTGTCCCATTAACTCTCGTTCTTCATTATATCAAATACCAGAAAATGGAAGAAAAAAATCCGCCCAAACAAACGCAACGTAATGTACACTCATCTTTCTTGGATTCTTTTTCCCTTTATAAATTTTATTTTATTTGGTGTAGCAAGTAAAACACCAGTCACCAACAATCCCACTAAATGGTTCAAATATAAAGTGATTGTATATCTTACAAAAGATTTGCTCATTGCTCTTCTGGTGTCCTCATCAGCATCTTTATATATGTCCCGGAAAAATTTGTTCAAAGCTGCATCACCATCCAACTTTTCGTCTTTCTCCTGACATTCAAACCACCAGTGAGTCATGCCAAAACTGAATTTGAAGCTTCAAACTATTTGATCGGTCTAACCCAGTCAAACATGACAAGACCAGAAGTTTTCAGGCAGACCTCTTTTTTCACTTGAGCTTCCAGTTTATCCCAATCTACTCTATTTGGCTTTGAGGAAGGGTAAATAGGCCTTTGAGTACCTAAAAAATGCAGAAGCAGCCAATGTGGGAACCAGTGAAAAAGCACATAAATGAGACAGACGATTCTGCAATCATGATCTTCAAGGGGGCTGTTTGGTGCAGCTTTTTGTAAGCTGAAAGCTAATAATCAGAAATAAGTGCCCAAAGCACCCCTCTCCCAGTTTCCAAATAATCACTTCTTTCAGCTTATTCAAGTTATTTATGTCTAATAAACTGTAAGCATAAGTTGAACCAAACAATCTCACACAAACTCCCAAAATAAAAAAAGCTATAAGCCGCACCAAACAGCCCCAAGCTACCAAACAGGATTTTAATACAAGTGTCTCATTCTAATAACCCAACAATAGCTCCACTCATAAGATGATCAAAACATCAAACTCCATTGAATTCTAACCCCATCATTGAAGTGCAATGGAATCAGAGCATGAACATAAAGCTTCATGATAATTAGGGCTGCAGATGAACTAAACTATTCACGAACAAGCCAGGCTCAGCTCGGCTCGGCTCGGCTCGGCTCGGCTCGGCTCATTTACAGCCCTAAGCGCTTGTTAGTCTCCCGATGATGAAATGATAATTACTTCAACTTTAAAATGTTTGAGGTTGTTTAAAGTTGCTGTGTAGCTCTGTTTTAGCCAAAAATTGACTTTTTGCGAATGGCCATTTTATCTTGAACCCATTTTAAGCCAAAAACTAACTTATTAACCCCAAAGAGAGAGAAAAGCCCGATTGTGTATTGAATGATGATATTTTTCAAAATTAGTGACTAGTTTTATTAAAAACATTGATTGAGAGATAATTTGAGTTTACTTGAGCCACAAGCAAGCAAAACAAGCCGAGCCGAGCAGAGCCCGAGCTCAGCAAAGCTCAGCTCGGCTCGGCTCATTTGCAGCCCTAATGGTAATTGAAGAATGCAAGATGTAAATAATACAGAATGTAACATGACAAATGACCATCTCCCATAAAACAAAAACAAAAACAAAAACAGAAACAAAAAAAAATTGATACAAGTAATATCAGATATGGTTGAAGAGCTAAGGCAGTCAATTACTACTGCACTCCTACTTCTGGGTTACTACAGAATGTCCTAGATTTTTAATCTTCATTTATTATTTTTTGTCTGATTCAGAAGTAACATAGTTCACCCATAACAAAAAGTTGGAAAGATTTATTTAATAGCACTTTTTTTCTTCTCTTTTTTCTTCTCTATTTTTTTTTTTTTTTTTTTTTTTGGACGGAGTTCTTAGCAAGAATCAGATAATTAAATCCAGCACCAGTTGATCAATGAATCATCTTCTGTGCTTCAAACTGTAGTCCAGGTTGAAATTACCACATTTACAAGTATGCTAACCTACCTGATGATACATTTATCCTCTGTAGAACAGTATTTTCCTTGTTGAATTCCAGAGTTGTCCAAGTTATGGCTTCAGCTTTAGCAAGGCGGATTTCAATCTTTGTTGACAAGACTTGATACTTGCATTTTGAAGGAATTATCTGTTCAACATGCAACAGAACACAAAAGAAAAGGCTGGCATCAAAGGTGCAACTGCTAGCAATGCATAAGACAGAACAATATTTGGTAGAAGATGAATTAAAACATCATTATGAACAATGAGGGGGGAAATTATCCTCTTTTGACAAGTAACATGAGGGGTTCTAGTTTTTTTTTTTTTTTTTTTAAAGTCAGCTTTGCAGAATATAGACTTGCTACACAAACATTTTCCTATTTTCCTGATTATAAGTCCACAGAAAGTGTTATCAATATTACTCTAGGCATCTAAGCTTTCAACACACTGTTCAATTGAGCATACTAAAAAAAGGTCCGCACAAGAATCAATGGGTAATAATAAACAACATGAAGTTTGTGCATTACCTTCCCAAATAACCGAGGTTGAAAAGTGTATACATCATCTTCACCAGAAACATCAATGGTGACACTCAGCTATGAAGCAGCCAAATAAAAGAAAAAGAATGAGAAAAGAAAATAAATTTTTTCATTTAATCAGCACATATTTCTACCAAAAGTTTAAAGAAACAAGTTGTGAAAAGAATATATATATATATATTTTTTTTGTTAGGATATAAAAATATATGTATATATTATGTACAAAATTTATATATGTCAGCATACTATTTGTTCACCGAATTCAACCGATACACTTTCAGCTGGTACACCCTTTGCAAATAAAGTAACAACAACTTCCTCTGGTTTCTGGTAAAATTCATGCCTGCACAAAGATTGTACATTAAATTAATAGAGTATTTATCAAGCACGGAACATAATTGTGTCATCATTTTGTAAAGACATCCAACTGCTTAACAAGAAGTTAAATCATAAATTTTGCCACATCACAAACATTGCTAGAGAATATGTCCCTATCCTGAATTACAAAACTTGCAAATATCAAGTAAACACAGCAAGTAGCCACTACCTGTATTTTGGTTTGGTTGATGATACCACTGGCTGAGCAGCTTTTGTAGTTTCAACAGTTTTATCAGTCAATTCAGAAGCCGGAGGAATTGCAACACTAGTTGGAGTTTCATTCAACGACTGCTTGGGTAGCTCACCATTTTCCTCTGATTGAGCATGCAAAATCCACCAATCAGAGACCAAATTTGAAGATGTCACTAAATTGTCCTATTTCTTACCCCTATGACAATAATCTTATATATCCCCCCCTTAAAAAACACACCATCATACCTATCCAAAGGAAATCTCAGAAGTATCGTTATCATAAACCAGTTGAATCATCCACCTAAAAAAACATGAATTATAGAAGTATCACAATTTTTCTATTTCATCGAGATTTGTCAAGAATACTCTTATGTTTCATTATCACCTTCAAATTTTGATTTTATATGCTGCAATCAATGGTATTCGAGCATTCAAATGTTCTTATAATTATCAAGCTACGAACTATCCTGTATTAGCTAGTTGGACTGCACATTTTGTGTGCATTCTATGCTTAAGAGAGCTACATTATGTTACCTGGAACATGATTCTATGCTTAAGAGAGCTACATTATGTTACATGGAACGTGAATCATTCCGGTACGTAGAACAAGAACTTAGTACACCACATACTCTAAATTGCGGTATGATAGGGGTAGGCCTGTATAATTTACACTATAACTATTTGAAGTACTTTTAGTCTAGAGAATCCTTTTTAACAATTAGATATCCAATAAATTGTATTTCTTTTTTCTTCAAATTAATCATATGGCAACACATTTTTATAAACATTATGACTCATTTTTTATGTTTTGTCATGCTAAAATTTCACTCACCTTAGATTTTTATTTGTGATATTTGACTTTTTTTACTCCCAAGGAAACCTTTGTTTGGTTACAATTTTCATAAACTATTTTTAAATGGATTTTCGTTTGTTTTATACTGAACTTTTTTCATATTTTAGTCAAATTTTTTATTTTGTAGATACATCAAGATTGGAGGCATCTAAAAACTAGAAAAATTTAACTAAAATATGAAAAAAATTCACTAAAAACAAGTGAAAATAGGACAAAAAATGCGCACAATTTTTTGTTCGAATTTTCATCAATTTCTATTTTTTTTAAAATATTTTAGTCAATTTATTTTACTTTTTAGAACCATCTGGATTAGGTGCATCTAAAAAAAGTACAAAGAATTGATTAAAATATATATTAAAAAATCACTAAAAATAAACAAAAACTCATCTAAAAACAGTTTTTAAAAAATCAAACCAAATGGACACATTTTTTAACAGACTTGTGGGATCACTTTGGATAGCCAAATTTACCGTTTTGGAACACAAGTGTCCCATGTTTCGGAATGTGCGCTCCAAAACGTAATTCGCTAAGGTATCAAAGGTTTTTGGTAACACCAATGGCAACCACAAATATACAGTGAAGAGATAAAATGACATAGATTCTCTAGACACCAAGCTAGAAGTTATTAGGTTTATGCAATAGTAATATCACAAAATAATATTATATATATCGCATATTGGATTTAACAAGTTTCCTTTAGGGAAAAAAAAAAAACACCAAAAAAGTGGGCAAAGGAAAAGTTCCTTTTTCTTATCATTTCTTGGCTATCTTCCAGACATACCTCAAAGGTAGATAACTTAAAATTTTCATATTATATTCCATTAGATGATGCAAGCACGAAAACATTGTAAAATGTGCAATTGTAAAAGAATTGAGAAGAAATTAACACATTGAAATGACAGTAATTCTATCTTTCTGTTCTACTCTTCTTCAGTAATCCTTTAAGAAGAAGAAAGGGTATCAGGCTGGGTGAATATAAGAAGGGTGGGTGAAGAGCTTGTAGTCTAAAAAATGCTTTTGTTGAATGTGAGTCATTATTCAAATAATGAACTATCAATTATCTACTTTGACCTATCTAATAGATTTCTACAGTTTAGTTATAATCTTGTTGTTTTAAGTTCAAAGAAAATCGGAGGGAATTTTTTTTTTTATAACCTAATGTTTGGGCCAGCTTGCACACCCTAAAGTTAACCACGGGGCAAACCTCTAGTGGCCCCTTAGGGTGACTTGAACTCAATACTTTAGATCTTATTCTCAAGTCTTTACCGCTTGGCCAACCCTATGGGGTTAATTGGAAGGGAATATTGAAAATTTACTTTTGTAAAGACCAAGTTGTAACAAAAAAGAGAATATTCTGTGCCTAAGACTACTAGGTATTTTGTGAACATTTTTCATAAAAGGTTAGGACACTTTTGACTAAATTTACAAAATAATAACCATCAGGATTAGTAAGAGGCAAAGAAGTACCTGCAATGTGCTCATTGCTTTCTTTGATCAAGTTAGTGAATCTCAAATCATCTGGAGCCAAAGAAGCACCTGTTTCCAGGGCAGCCTTAGCAGTCTGATATTCTTCAAGCTTGATACATGCAGTACTGTAAGATGAAAGAAGAAAAAATGCAAAATATTTTTTGTAAGAGGAAAACGAAAAAATATTTTTATTCAATCAGAACCATTGTGATCCAAAGTAGAATCAATAGGTGATGTGAAGAAAACGATACCAGTAGTTCAAAAGGATTAATAATTGAAAGAAGTGGATCGTAAATCTTAAGCCAAGGCATTGGAAAGAATGGTGATTAGTGTACAATGTCTAATAATCTACTACAAAACAGTGGCATGCCCTATCACCACTTGGGCTACACAGTGACAATACGCAGCCTACAAAAACTCTCACCAGAATCCCATATTTACCCTTCAATAGAACCGACAACATACATCAAAAGACCCAAACATTCATCGGGAAAAAGGAAGTGCCAATGGAGTGTGTAATATATGTGCAGATGACCAGAACCCCACCTCAGCATTAGAACAGTTCTTGCTCACATGTATCACTAAGAAGAACTCATATTGGTCCATAAAGTGCTACAAATATCCGATTACACAACTAAAGATAATGGATAGACAAAGGCGGTGCTTCAATCCTGTGTAGTTATACAAAGACATAACTAAACCAAAAATTACATTTCGAAGTCACTATAAATTTTGTAGTAGATCAAAGCTGTCTAGTTAAAGAATGAACTACAGAACTTGAATCTTCTATGAACAATATAAGTTGTCACAAGGCAAACCAACTAGTAGAAATAAAGTTTAGTGGCATTCAGTGGTCACTAAAACAGGCATCCGTCAAAAATGTAGGGCTGTTTCAACCGGCTGAGAAAGATTATTACGATCGCATCTTTACCAACTTGAATAAAAACCAATGGCAGCAGTAGCGGTGCCATAGGTCCTGTCAGGGGTAGGGTTGCACACAAGCCAAAGCCAAGCCGAGCTTTTGAGTGTTCAAGCTTGTTTATTAAGACTTAGTCGAGCTCTTAAATAATCGAGTTCGAGCTCGGCTTGTCACATATTTAAGAAACTTGAGCTCGGCTCGAACCAAGTCGATTACATAAATGAGCCGAGTTTGAGCACAAGCTCGAACTTGAAAAAAAAAATGAAATGAAAATAATTTATTTATTAAGATGAAAAATATAAAATTATGAGCAAAAGATACGAAAATGTTTATATTAATAATAAATTTCATCAAACAAATATGTAAATTTACACAAACACTAAATACAAATAGAAAAATAAAAAAATTATTTGATATATTATTAAAAATAAATATTAATTTATTTTCTTCATATTCACAAACCTTATCGAGCTAAGCTTGGTGCTACTCAAGCTCAGCTCGATTAATAAACAAGCCTAACAATTGAGCTCAAGCTCATACATTTAGTAAATGAACCAAGCTTAAACGAGCTGAGCTCGATTTGTTCATGAACAGCACGGTTCGTTTGCAGACCTAGTCAAGGGTACCGCATCTAACACTTGGACCTGTTTAATTAGAGTGTCAAAAGAAAGAAGAAAAGTGTTCACTATACCATGATATGAAATTTGAACATAAACTTCCCAGTAGAAGTGCTACATTAATGTGGTCCAATTTTTCCCATAGCATTTCCAGCACATTTAATGTAGAACTTCAACTTCCATTGGGAATAAAAACTCATATCTACTTTCTAATTGTGATGCACACCAAATAGAGCCTTGACTAGATGTGAGTTTCTAAAGGTGTTTAGCAAAAGCCCAAAAAAAAAATCATAATGCATTTTTTTAATCCCAAAGAGTAATGTTATTTTCCAATAACAAAATTTAAAAACTATCAACATTCATTCAGCTAGAATGCATTCTAAGTCCCAGCTAAACCTAACATAATTTTCTTAAAGAAAGCTTTATCGACGTGATGCATTCTTATAATGCAAACAAATGCAACATATATGCCATGGTCCAAAGCACAAGCACATAAAAACCATGCCATTGACACTCTGGAATCAAAAGAGTTTAAGAGAGAGAGAGAGAGAGAGACCACCACCCCAAAAAAATCTGTATATATGACATGCTTCCACTGAAAAAATCAGAGAACTTGATTGAAAGCACCTTAAGGAAAGCATACATGTACAACTCTAAATTTATATCAAGAAATCTACAGGAAGTACATTTCTGCCCATGATGAGGAAAGAATGCCAATGAGCATTTTAGTTATTCAAATATATAATCACATGGCAAAAGATAATCAAATTAAAAAATCAAAATATTATAACCTCACTCAACCAAACTACACCTCCAGAAATGACAACATATATGGGAATTAAGTAAATCAAAAAATGCATACTCCTCAAGGTTGTGATCCCAATGTATCATGCACACTACAAAGATCTCATTGCGAGTCGAAGAAATGCCAGAGTTAAAAACAGCATTTAATATCAGTATATAATATATACATATATATATACACCATTTAGGTGCCAGAAATTCAAACATGACCCTGGCAATTACATGCAGATGCATATAGAGGATTTGACACCATAAGTTACACCAAACAAACATGGAAATATTTAATCTATTAAATGCATACTCACCCTTTACGTAAGTATGCTTTGGCCATTGAAGGGTCCAACTCAATTGCTTTGTTTGCATCAGAAACAGCCTCTGCTCATAAAATGTGTATGTGGATTAATCACCAGCTTAAAACATATATGAATATAAACCATCACAAGCGCATATAGCCATCATATTAACCAAAATAAAACATGCTTACAAGAATTTGGAAATATTAGTTTCAATAGCTGAGTGCAAAGGAGACAAATTTAAACAGAAACACAAAAATGCTGGAAAATAAGAAAACAAAATCACAAATTTGCAAATAAGACTTTCAAAAGTTATCATATGTACGGGTTAACAACTGCACCATGGGCAAAGATAAACAATAAGTTTCCATTGAAAAAATTATACAATAAGAGAATAACTCTTAAGCCCCAAAAAATGATGTCCACAGAATTAATAAACAATCACAATCCACCCACAGTACCAAGTTATACCCTTGATCCGACCAAAAGGCCTCCAAAAAAAATAAAAAATTAATCCAAGACAGCATAGACAGTCTTTCCACAATCATGTAAGTCTAATTGTAGCCCAAAGCACCTATCCTAAACCATGCATGGGGGACCAGAACCCCACCAAATAACGTATTATATGGGGTCCCAAATGAGAGGAAGAATATAGAAAATTAGACAAAATTAAGGGCAGCAGTGTTTGAACCCTCTCCTTTGCAAAATCTAATCAACCCATTGTTCAAAATCAATGCTAAACATACACCCCATTGCATGCACTTCAGTTCTGGTCAACAAATCAACAATAACGTCAATTAACCAAATCACAAAACATATGGGTGTGTTTGGTTTGTGTTTGTAGAGTAGTTTTTGAAATAAAAAGTATGAAAATTTGTTTTGTTTGCCTTTTATCATAAATGGTTTTGAAAATTTGTTTTGGGGAGAAAGTTTTAAAAAAAGTGATTGATTTGATGTATATGAGAGAGAGAAAGAGAGATTTTGGAAAGTAGGTAACGAAACAAAATTTTGAGATTTTTTTTTAGAAAATTTTGTTTGGTTTGATTGCTCATGAAAATTTGTTTGCAGAGAATTTTTCCCAAAAATTTTTCTAAAAAACAAACCAAACAAACCCTATATTTCTAGCCAAAAAAAAAAATTTGTTCTTACTTCTTATTTTGTTGGTTATGTTTTACTCATACCTTGTGTTCTATGCTTGATTAACAATCAAGATAGATCTCAACTAATTAATTTTTTACATCTTGAAGGTAACATCCAGTCATCTGACACCAGCAACCACATTTTGTTTGAAGGATGCCTCACCCAAGACATAATTCAGCAGTGGGATTAGGAGAGCTGGCTAATACATATTGGACTCAACATAACTACCTATACCCACTGGCATGGGACTCAACATAACTTAACTACACCTAGTGGTAGCAAATAGTGCAATATATTCATAATCACAAAATAGGTGGGCGATCAGAAGAGTTGGCTAATGCTGCAATACATATGTTACTTAACTAATAGTAATGGTGCAATATATCCATAATAACAAAATAGGCATTCATAGGATGCATGGGTGCTCTATTAGAAAAGCTGGGCCAGCCCAGACCGCCCCTCCATTATGCCTCCTTTGGTGTACGGTGTACCCGAAAGAAGTAATGTAGGCATGATTTGTTGGGGGGGCGGAGCTACCGAATTACAAGTTAAAGCATATTCAAGTGAAATCCTCTTGCTTTTGGTTGTCAGGAATATGGCATCTGTGAGTTCCTTATTCAGTTTTCTAGAAGGTCTGCACCATTGACTGGAAAATTTAGTCTCTTTAGTTTTTGATTTGCTTGGCATTCTCCAATATACTCATGTCTACTTGTGTTGTAACCCCTTCATCATCTTTTAGTTCTAGTAAACTTATTATCAAAAATGTCAATTAATAAAAAGGATTCACAAATCATGAAGTATTTTGTTAAAGGCCTTTTTCTAAAGAATGTAGGGCTTTGCACCTGGGACGCAAGAAAAGCAAAATTAGAAAAGAACATGAACACCTTTTACCAATTTCAAAACACTTTTCATCAATTTCATAAAACTTTTTTAACTATACATCTATTTTGTAAACACTTTTCATCCCAATCCGATAGTATGATCGCTTGAGTTTTCCAAAAAAAAAAAAAAAAAAACTGAATTTCTTTTTAAAAAAACAGACACTAGTTTGATAAAAAGTAAACACCAAAAAAGATATTTTTAAAAATTTTAGAAATTATTTCCCCCCATAAAATATAATAATAATAATAATATTTTTTTCACCAAACTAGTTGTTGAAATTTTTTCAGAAACTGATTCTGAAAATCAACCAAGCAACAATACATGTGTTTTTTTTTTCCTGATCATAAAAATCCTCTTATGTTTCCATTCCTTCTCCTGTCTTTCACATTCACTTCTATTTCAATCTCTAAAACGAACAGGTAGCAACCACATACATGAAACTTTTGTTCAACAATTTTTCGTTATTCAAAACAATCACTATAACGAAATTACCAGCTAAAACACAACCATTCAAACGAAATAAATGATACCAAACTATCAAAATTCGAAATTTCTTCATAAGGAAACAACAATCCGTAATAAACTGAGCCTAATACCACGAATTGCCTTAAATTGAGTCAAATCCTATGCATACAAGAAACAAAACTAAGGGGAAAAAACAGGTGTTTGTGTGTGTGAGAGAGAGAAAGAGAGAGGAAGATACCAGTGAAGTTGTTGAGTTTGATGTTGGCCTGAGCGCGGTCGGAAAAGAGCTCGGCGTTCTTAGGGTCAATAGCGATGGCTTGAGAGTAGAGGTCAACGGCGAGCTCGAAGTGGTCGTCGATGAAGGCCTCTTTAGCCCTAGTTTCGAGATCGGACGCCATTCGAATAATCAACAACTCTGCAGAGAGCTGGAGAGAGAGAGAAAGAGAGAGAGACAAAGGGAAGAATGATGCTTGACTTGTAGTGCCAAGTCTTTGATTAGAGATAACAGTAGACAGAGAAAAGAGACAGAAAACAACGCCGCTTGTCTCCAGTTGAAAATTCAACTGGATTGAACTGGCCCAGTTGAGGCCTTTCACCGAAAAGAATTATTGAGCGAAAAAATTTTATCCATAAAAATTTATGAATTTGTTATTCTTTTAATTTTTCTTAAAAGAGTCTTTCGTTTAATATTTTTTTTTTCTCATAATCTTCTATTTCATGATTTTTTTATCAAAAATCTAAGGCTATGTTTGGTTGTACTTTGTAATCAATTTTCTACCCGTGTGTTGGAGCATGATGTTTGGTTTCGTTTTTAAATCAATTTTCTACACTCTGCAGAGAGAACTCTGATGCACAGACGCCTTTTTTGTCCACCCGGTTGTCCACCCGGTAGACCACCCGGATGTCCGGCTGATTTCCAGATTTTTTTTTTTTTTTTTTTTGCAATTGATTTACATAATCGGGACAAATATTTTCTGAAAATTTTTAAATTTTTTATGTGCTTTAAAATAATTTTGAGTTGTATGTTTAGTTATAAGTTGTAAATTTTTGTATCACATATCAAATGTCACATCAATAATTCCCCACTCAAATCAAACCTCTTTTCCAAAACTATTTTCAAAACTCTTTACTAAACAAATTTTCTACACTCAAATCATAATTCCACAACACACAAACTCAAAATACAACTCATACTCTCAAATCACATTTACAAAATACAACCAAACGCTACCTAAATTGTTTTTCAATTGGAGATAAGTGATTCTTATAATTCTTTTGGAAAGTGAATTGATTTTTTAACTTTTTTGTTATTTTAACTTAGATTTAAAAAGCATGTTTGAATTGATTTTTTTAACTTTTATGAAATAAAAAATAAAATTATTATAATTTAAATATGATATTTTAACTAGTTAATTTTTCAACTTATTTTATCTTTTCGTAAAATTAACTAAAAAATTTAAAAAATTCACTTAGCAAAGGAGGGTGTTTTCTTTTTGGCCTGTGATAATCATGTTCCGTATTATGCTAAATGGTCCTTATTATAAATGTGATTATGTGTTTGATATAATTTTGTGTGTCATTATGTGAGAATATGTGATTTTGAATTTTTATCTGTTCACCGTAAGAATATCTGTTTGATTATCTGCTTTAGAAATTAAATTGAAGGCCTTATCAACCACAAAACCCGAAATTGATTGCGCCATTGTGATTACCGTAATTTTTAGAGCCTACAGTGAAATTTAATTGAAAATTGATTCAGATCAAAATAATTAAATTCAGAACGAATAATTAAGTACTCAATTATTTGATATTAAAATAATGTAATCTAGTGGGGCTATAAAAGGGCCACTATGTGTTCAATTCCCCTCTTTTATCCATTTTGGCTGATTTTAACTCTAAGAATAGAGAGAGGGTCGGCTAAAGAGAGAGTAAGAAGGAGAGTTGGATGTTTAGCTCAAGTTTGTGAAGATTGGAATGCCAACTCTAGATTTGACCATAATTTGGGAAGATTGGAGCCTTTAGGTAAGTGAATTCCTGAACTTTAATTTGTAATTTTGTGAGTTCAAATTTGATTAATGGTCAAGAACATGAATTTAATTGAGTATGATGAATTTGGATTGGTTTTGTTGAATTGAAGGTCAATGTACGCATGCATGTGTGTAATTGCTTTGAATTTGCATGTTTGACCACAAAATGTATGATCCATGTAAGTTTTTAGTTGAAGTCCATGTATTTGATCATCTCTTCACCAATTAAGTTGAGAATAATGGGTATCTCCCACATGCAAGTACAAACCATGGAGGTGTTAGTCTTGAATATTTGAATTTAATGTGTTTGTGATGAGTTTGGGTCAATTTGAGCCATGCATGTGAGTAATTAATGGAATTAGACTTCATAATGTTGTAATTTAGTGTTTGTACCATGTTAGTACATGTATATGTGAAGTTTGAGCTGAAATTATGTGTTTGGAGCCTTTGAATGTCGAGTTGAAACTCAAGAACATGTTCTGGAAAATCCAGAAAATTTAATGTCCGCTTGAGCGGGGAAACCGCCGCTCGAGCATGAATTTCGTGCTCCCAGTATTTTTGCAGACTTGGATGTCCGCTCGAGCGGGGAAGTTCACGCTCGAGCGGGGAGCTATGTAGACAGACCTTCAGCTCGAGCGTCAGACTTCACGCTCGAGCGTAATTTTGATGCATCTAGCACTTTTGCAGACCTCATGGGTCCGCTCAAGCAGGGAAGTCCACGCTCGAGCAGGGACCCTGTTTTCTGAAATTTGAAAAGGCATTCTAAGTTTCGTTTTCCATCCTCTTTCACTTCTAAGTACTCTTAGGCATGCATTGAGCATTATAATTGAGTTAAAGAGATAAGAATGAAGCCTAAAGAGGAAAATGCGAATTTAGAACGGATTGAATTGTTTGTGACCCTTTTGTGTTCATGGAATGTGTAGGGTCGAGCTCCAGGACAAACCAACCAACCGATCACTATGAGTAATATCTTAACAAAGATATCTGAAATATGTTGTTGTCCAAATTACTTACTTCTATGTAAGTTTTATAAGTTCACTGATTCGATTGGTGGACAATGTTGCTATGCCAAATGAATGGGCCAGAGGCCAGTTTGATCTGAATGATAGAGTGAATGGGCCAGAGGCCGTTTTGACAAGAATGAATGAATGGGCCAAAGTCCATTTTGACATGAATGAATGGACCAGAGGCCGTTTTAATACGAATGAATGGGCTAGAGGCCGTTTTGACACGAATGAATGGACCAGAGGCTAGTCTGACACGAATGAGAGAATGATAGTTTGACATGAAAGTTTGAATGGGCCATAGGCCAGTCTGATATGAATGAAAGTTTGAATGGGCCATAGGCCAGTTTGACATGAAAGTCTGAATGGGCCAAAGGCCGGTTGGATCTGAATAAAAGATAAATGGGCCAAAGGCCAGTATGATACGAACGAATTGGGCCCGAGGCCGTATGATGTGTTCAGAACCCCAGTCACTTGACCTAAATTTGTAATTATATATGCTAATAGAAATACAAATTAGACCCAAGGCCGTTTGGTGTACGTTGTTCTAATGTACCTTCTTTATTTGATATTATTCACTGGGTTTTCGCTCACGCTCATTCATGTGTTTGTAGGTGAGCCAAGGGAGGTCCCAACCCAGCCTCAGTGAAGTCTGTGTGGAACAACCAAAGTTTTGAAGAGTCAGCCATTGCGTCTTACGCATAAGACACGTCTTCGCCCTTTTGCTATCTTGTGTCATTTTGTCATGTTGGCGAGGACTTTAGATACGTTTGTATATAGTTTTGATTGGCTGACCTAGACTTGAATGATCATGTCTGTACAGAACTCTATGCTACTGTATTGTCTGATGTGAGTTATTAATATCTTTATGTATGGTTGTTATGATGTGCCATGTAAGCACAGCTCTATGGACAAAGTTTTAAATTCTGCTTCACACTCCAATCAAATTAGCAAACAAAAAAACTAAAAATTTCTTAATGTAATTTTTCTAAACGTGACATTCACAATTCGAAATTATACATTTGCTCAAAGTTTACTAGGGAATTTTTGTAGTCCTTTTGGAATGGTTTGAAAAATCTCACATACTTTCGGAATGGTTTGAAGAATCTCATATTCTTTTTTTGGAGTGTTACATTGGATTGTTATGTTTGAGAAAAGTATACCAATGAGTTTTTTGTGTGTTATATTGGAATGTTACACTAACAATTTTTTTTTTGAGTATTATATTAGAGTGTTATGTTTGAAAAAAGTATATTAAGAAATTTTTTTTTGAGTGTTACATTTGAGTGTTATATTGGAGTGTTACAATACATTTGCCCAAAGTTTATAAAGGAATTTTTGTACTCCTTTTGAAATATTTGAAGAATCTCATATCCTTCTGGAATGTTTGATGGATCTCATATTTCAAGTAATTTTTGCACTCGTTTTGAAATATTTTCCAAATAAAAAAGATTTTCATATAAAAATTCGCCCAAAATTTGATTCTCACAGATTGTTTACATTACCTTTCTAGCACAAAAGAAAAAAGAAGAAAATATAATATAAATAAGTGTATAACCGTAAATCTAATTTTTAAATAATATATAAAATCTACCCTTTCAAAATCAATGTGACTAATTGGTCAATAAGAAAATCTTTGGAATTAAACAGATTATTATTCCTCAAAATGTGATTTATAGATAAATTTTCCAAATAGTTAAACAAGACATTTTAATCTATTGAATGATAATATCAGCATTTTTCATCTATTTTACTTGCCAATGATTGATGATATGGATCAAACCATTATGCAATTATATGGACGGTATAATTATGCTAATATACTTAGGGATTGTTTGGAAAGATTTAAATAAGTATTTTATTTTTTATTTTTTATGAAAAGATGAAAAATATGATAGAGGTGATATAACCCAAATAAAATAAAAAGATGTGCTAAAATAGATTATGCCAAACAACCACTTAATCTCAACTATACAAATTTAAAATTTTAAAAAAATTATATTTTAGTCAATTTTTTAACAAATTCAATTAATTCGAAATAAGTTAAATTTTATTTAAAAAATAACTTTTTCTAAATTAAAAAAATATTTTTATTCATAACATTGTTTAACTGAGATTAATTTAAAAGTAAATCATTTGAGTTGATTAAAAAATAAGTAATTAACTACGAATCAAAATAAGTTTTTTTAAAAAAATGTACTTCCAAAAAACAAGGCTAAGGTGACTAATGTAAGTACAATTCATATTATTTAAAATTCGTAAGTGAAAATCAATTAACTCTCTTTGGTGAGCACAATTCATATTATTTAAAATTTAAGTGACTAATGTAAGTATGATTATTTTAATGTTAAGAAAATTTATAACTGTTTATACATAAATATTATGTACATTATTATGATTTCATCACCGCCACTACTACACCCTAACCCCACCGTTACCATCACCGCCTTCATTACACCACTATTACCATTTTGCC